AATAATATTTTTGACTGATTGAACAGATAGTTAATATGCATATCACTGATAAAAAAAAATAGGTTATCAATTGAGTTAACCCATGACAAAGAGTGAAAATTAACTGATGTCTCTGAAGTTATACATCAATTTTGTCACCATATGTTCTAATTAATAATTAATTAATTTGTTTCGTTTTGGATTATTAAATTAGAGTTGCATTGTGTACTTTTGCTATTTTGTTTAAAATTCATTGAAAAGTTTTACTTTTTTTCCTCTCTTAATACATATGAAATAAAATATGCTTTTTCTTTATTATGAAAAAGAAAATTGAAATTTATTGTTAATTTTTAATTTTAATATTGCACGAAGAGCAATTTAATTTTTGGTTTGTTTATTAATATTCCAATTTTAATTCCAAAAGTATAAAGTTGAATTATTTTTGATATTTAATAATAGCCATAATTATTTACTATTCATTAATAAGCTACCGTTTTAATAAGCTATCAAATGCCATTCTACTTATTCATCAAATTACAACTACACAATAAATAATAACAAAGTAATTTTCATATTATGCATCCCAATTTATTTCACATCAAATTCCATCTATTTTATTTTTAATAACGAATACAAAAAAATTGTGATTTAAAATGAAACAAATTGAATTTTTTTAAATGAACTAATATTTGCTCAGTTATAACAATCACAACAAATGAGAAATTCATTATAATTGAATGTCAGTGTTTTGTGTATTTAAATTTCTAATCATATTTTTACTATATTGTTGTTCTGGTAGTTCTATCAGGAATTTGCAGTATTTCCACTTTTTTTTTCTTTTATTCCAGTTTTTAAACAATATCAAAAATTTCACCTTGAATTTCGGACTGAAATTTGCATTTTTTATATTTTATTTATGATCTCTTGTTCAAAATTTGAAAAACGAATTCAACATTTGAATCAGAAAAATATTATCTTTATTTTAAAATTTTTTTCATTTTTCATATGGGAATACATACAACCATGTTTATATTTTTATTTATTCATTTATTTAGTATAAAATTATTTAAAATATCATTCAGAGCAATCCGTTTGATATTTATCTGCTAGATGATAAATACAAAAATTTTTCATTTTCAAAAGAGCTAAATTTATAATTAATCATTTTACGCATATAATTTGAATGTTAATTTTCTCTTTGAATAATTTATTGGGTTATAAATCATTGGAAATTTAAATTCATTAACTTTTGCTTATGTATGATTGAATTATAAATGATCAATGAATTTAAAGAAAATGTTAAACACTGTAAAATTTCATTTCTTTTCTTCTTTTTCTTGTCCATCCATTAATCAACAAATAATGGCGAAAAGCAACTGTCCAATTCAATTTTCCTCCATTCACTACCATTTGGCTGCAGAAACCAATTCAACATGAAACCCAATTCTATTCCACAAAAAAAGAAAAAATTTTTAGTTTTCTAAAAAAAAAAAAAGGAAACGAACAATTTCAAAATTCTTTCGTAAATTCTTTCGATATTACATATGTACTTTTTTTTTTTTTCTTTATTATTACCAATGGTCTAATTAAAATTAAACAACTATTCGACTTGTCTTCTTCTGAAGCCGAAAATAATTTGATTGAAATCAATGAGGTCAAATTTGTTTTATGTATGAATACATCTTAAATAATAATTTAAAAGAATGCAAATGAATTTCATGATTTTTTGCTTTTTATTTTCAGTAAATAGATATTTTCATTTTAATAAAAAAACAAAAAAAAATGTTTGAAAAAAAAGTTGGCTAACATTTGAATACATTTATACTTATTTGTTTAATTCCTTAAAAATAGTACCTTTTGAAATATATCTTTAAACCAAAAAAACAAAAAACAAAAACGAGAAATCTACGAAATTTTTTGTCAAATTGATATTAGCGTAATTTATTTTTAGCACTTTCGTCTCTTTTACATTTTGCCAATTAGTCACTTTACCAGCCATTCGTTAGTTTGTATGTATATGTATAGCAAGAATTTTTAATGAAATAAAAGTGAGATATTAGAATTTACAAATTTAAAAATTTTCTTTAAGGTTAAGGTATCGAATTTTAGTAGCAAATTTAATTATTTAAATGTCTTTTTTTTTTGATGATATCTATATTCTTCCTCCTAGATTCTCAATCTTCCCCTTATTCACATAAAATTTAATCAAGACAACATTCATTTTTGCTAATTTACTCATTTTCCATAATAAGAGTTGAAACAATAATAATAATAATAGTAATAATAATATTAATAGTAGTAATAATATTAATAATAATGGCAATAATAATAATAATAATGATAACAATAGTAATAATAATAAACTATTAAAATAATTATAATTACTGTTACCATCACTATTATAATTACTGTTATTGTTAATTATTTTCTTAAAATATTATTGAATATTTTATCACCTATACTGTTTATCAGCTAATATTTCTCATTTCGCTAAAAAGCAAATTTGAAATTCAATTCATCATTTGTTCAATTCATTTCATATATTCTTTAAATTGATTTCAATGTGATATATATATATATATGTACATTCAATGTCAACGAAGGAAGGAGTTGTCCTCTCTATTTTCCTCAATACTGCTGCTGCATGTTTATATTTGTCACATCAGCGACTAAAGTGCGATTTTATTCATTGCGAATCATTTCTTCGTCTTTTCGTATGGCTGAATGAGTTGAATAAGCCAACAATGTCTCTGTCTCATTCTCGGGATTATTTCTAAGTTCATTTTAGCAACTGAGAATTGTTACTGATGCTACTGATACTACTATTATTCATTTATTACTATCATCATTTTTTATTGTCCATTATTATTGTTATTATCATTATCATTATTACTGCTTATTCTTGTTATTATTTATTATTATTCTCTTTTATATTTGTTTTTTATTATCATTATTGTTTATTATTATTATTATTAATCATTTTCCATTATATTTTTATCAGATGTGTGATAGAAGTGATGTTGCTATTGCTAATACGAAAGTATTTTTATTAATGTCAAATGTTAAAATACTTATTGTTTGTTCTTGTTATTATTTACTATTATTCTCTTTTATATTTGTTATTTATTAATTGTGATGATTAATTTATTAATTGCACACGAAAATTAACATAAGTATATTTAAGTGAAATATTCCTAAAATCCTCTCCTAAATATAATAATTATGATGATTAATTTATTAATTGCATAAACCTTAAAATTAAATAGTATCTTTCTAAATTGCAAAAATTAATCACAATTTGTTCATTTTTGATTACTAATAAATTATAAAAGTTGTTGCAATTTAAAATTTCAATAATTTTCGAACAATAATATTTTGAAATATTCAAAAATATTATTTTAATAATTTTTTTTTTTCATTGATTAATACTTTTGAAAAAAAAATTATTGATTAATGTTTTCTTTTTTTTTTTTTTGAAAAAAAAGTTTGAAAAAATTTTTTTCACTGACTAATATATTTCTCTTATTCACTGTTTACATTTAAAATCAAAATTATTTCCTAATTTTTTTCATTTTTTTATGAATGTTCAATTATAATTTTTATTCATTCTTATCATTCCTCTCTCTCTCTCTCTTCCTCTTCCTCTTTTTCCCTCTTTGTCTCTTTCTCTCTTTCACTTCCTCTCGTTTCATATTTGACTTACTATAAATCACTCTTAATTACTACTAACATTGCAGAAGTAACTATTTGTAAATTTTTCTCCATCCATCTGTCATTGTCACTTCTATCAATTTCATGTAATATTTTTTTTATTATTATCGCTTCTTTTTCTATAATGTTTTGTAAATCTTACCGATCTCAAATTCTCTTTCAAATTGTTTTATTTCTTATTTACTGTCGCGAAAAGTTTTCAATTGGGACATTATGAAAAAGCGCTTGCATGTCATTTCTGCATTTTAAATGTCTGTTAAAAGTCGTTGTCTTGTATTGCGTTGTGTTCGTTGTCAGTGTTTTTCATACTTCACATCTTTTCTTTTATTGATTAATTTATACTTAAATTTGCTTTTTATATATTTGTGCTCTTTTTTTTCTTTGTTTATTCAAAAATTCAACATTATATTTTCATATATCACTGACATGCTAAATTGTTTGCCAATGTTAACATAGGTAGATAATAATATTACTTTATTAACACTTGTAACTTGTAAGTATGGATGAGCTTGCTTACATACTTTCTTATCGGTTGACTCAATTTTATGGATGAGTTTCATGTTTTGCTTACTACTCTCTTTACATATTGACTGAAAGTGATTTACAAGCTAAATTTAAAGCTAAATTAAAATATGTTCATTGACATGCTAAATTGTTTGCCAGTCTCTCTCTCCCTCTCTCTCTCTCTCTCCCTTATTTACTAATCCATTTATGCAATGAATCATTTGCTAACTTACTCACTTACTGGTTAATTTGTATGTTGATTATTCACTTGTTTTTTTTTTTTTTTTTCTTTTTATTTTCTTCGTCATCCATCTGTCTCATAGGAATTTGTTAGAAATAAGATATTAATTCGGAACTTTTTGATTCACCAATTCTGTTTATTCAATCACAATAGCAATGGTAATGTTATGGTAGTAGCAATAATGAATGATCATGATGGTTATGTTATTGATAATAGCACTGTAATAAGTATTAGCTTTGGATGTAGTGTTGCTTTGTTGTCACATATTAATAGTTTTGTTGAACTGTGATTTTTTCAAAATTTTCGCATTTTTTGTAGCTTGTTGAGTTTTTCCATTCTTTTTCACTTTCAGAGTGGTAACACAAAAAGCGAATAGCAAGCAGTCATCCTATCAATCATCACCTTCTTTTGGTGTTGTGTGCTGACCAGGCATCATCCTGCTAGTCAGTATATAATTATTTTGTTCAACGATAATAACGATAGCGACAGCAACAGCGACAACAAGCTAGCTGTTTTTCGATTTATATTAGCCGGTTTTAATTCTTTTTTGTCTTCTTTCAAAACTATGATTCGAAGAGGTCCACGATTTTGGTTTCTCAACTGTTGCATTTCACCGCAATCAGAAGTATGTTTATTGTAACTTATATATTTTTGTACAGCTGTTGGCTTGCATTACGGATACCGTTGCATTCCACTACTTTTTTGTTTTGTTTCTTTTTCGGTTGCTAATGACTGCAGCCTTGTAACTTTCAAATATGCATATGAAATATTGTAAAAATTATCAACAAAATTAACCAAAAAGTGGTCTTTCAAAAATACGAATTGATATTTAGAAATGAAAGATTTAGGCAAAATCCATATTATTTTCTTATTTGAATTCCACCTTTCCATTTCCAAAATGAAGGAGTTTAATTACTGACTATTCAGTTAGCGTGAAGTGAAAAATTTTCAGATAGCCCGAATAAGGATAGATAGTTCGATGATTGGCGGCCCTACGAATTTCCGCCACATTGGACATATGGGTGCGAGTGATCTCAATGCTACATTCAATGTGATGTGTTTATTCAGTTTTTTGCACTTTTTTGTGAACAAACAAAAGTTCAAATGCGCACTACATATTATCCAGCATATTTTTATTGCTGTTTGATTTAGATTCAAAGAAGCATTATTCTCCCTATTTTTTCAAAACTTTATTGCTCATCAATTAAAATATATTTCATGTATTTTATTTATATATCAGTTAGTTAATAGTTTCTGCAACTAAATAGAATACTATTGCACAAATAAAGTACAACATTTTCGGGCAATCTTGAGATATAGGGTTAGATGTTGCTTCAATCTTTGAATATTGATATTTTAATTTTTGTTTACTGAAAGATTTAAGCAATGCTTTTAATTCGAGGTTTCAGTTTCAGGTCGATGCAATAAGTTGCTTGCTTAGGTCAAAAGGTGATGATTCTTATTCATTACCAGTACCACAGCATCTTCGGGCAAATGATGTACCTGTTAGAGGTAGTTTTTGAACATTCAGTTATTTAAATATTTCTTATTATCCTGTGCAAAAATGCAGAAATATAATTACATGTTAAGAGGTTGGATAAGCATCGGTATATTTAGGTCTCAAGATACAGAAATATTCAGTTGTAGAGGAGTTGGTATAAAGAGTTCAAATTCCGAATGGAAACAAATGAAGAAGTAGAGTCCGTTACTATTATTAGAAGGCAAGGAGTGTTTTTCAAAGAATGGAATAGGACAGTTTTCAGTTGTAAGTCTGAAATTCGGAAAACTTAGGAATTTCGAGAAGCAAGTAATTTTGGTTCTTTTTTAGCACTGTAATATCTTGGAATATTTGTTTTATTAATGGGTCAAACATTTTATCAGCGAAGGAATTTATTATTGGTTCAAATGGTTGATCAGTGGATAAAGAAGCATATCAAGATCGACTTATATTACATTTATTAGTATTCTATCCCTGAAAGTTTTGTTCAAGTTTCTGTACAAGTCCCAAAAAACCACTGCTGTTATTGATTTTGCACTTTCTTATTTGCCATTCTGATTTGTCTTAATACTGTCAAAAAAAAAAAAAAAAAAAAAAAAAAGAAAGAAAAACCAAAAATACATAGAGGAAAGATAATGGATTTGGTGAAACTTACTTTTGTTTTCATTTATACGTCTTTTATCGTCTTACCCAAAATGGTTTTTACTAACGGTTTTTTAGTTCACTCTGTTTACTTCGCTTATATGTTATTGTAAATATTTGCATGTAATTTTCTAGCTGTGAACCACTGTATGCCTTTATTGTCATATTCCTGATTTTAAGTCTGAACAGATAGATGATACCTGAAAGATATTTGTTTTGTTGGTGCTCGGGTGTAGACCTTTATGTTGGTGGAAGTTATTTGGTTTGGTTTATTCTATTTTGTTTTTATCTATACTTTTTTACTTTTCCTACCAAACGGTAGCAAAAGATTTTTTTTGTAAAACTCTACTTGCGATGCACCAAAATACTACATTTTAGAAAGAGTAAATTAGTTTCAGTTCCATTTCGTTATGTATATTCCAAATGTGAGAGCTTTTCTTTTCTTTGGGATAACAGCAAAGATGTAAATTTGTATTAGAAAATTTATTTGAAATATGTTCCTTAACTTCATGTATTTACACGACTGCCTGCATTCTGCACTTTGCGTCCCGGTAGTATGATTATAATGAGAGGAGTAGTAGTAGTACTAATAGTATGATTTGATGTTTTAATCTTTTCATTTTTTCGAGTTTCTCATTGAAACATATCATCACCCTGCTGTGTTGTATATTTTCTGTTAATCAAAGTGCTTTCCTTCCTTCCATCCTTCCTTCCCTTCCATCCTCCTACATCCGTGCAACAAATTATCTTTGTTCGTGTATTCCTATCATAATATTTTTCACTGATTCATATCACTGTGTATTTTAGCAATTATTTTTATGCGAATAAAAATATATGATCGATTTACTCTTTTAGCTTCTTTGTATTTCCTGTCGACAAAATCGGTATTACTGTTGGAATCGTATAATACAATTCTTTTCCATAGCGGTTCCAAGAATAGGTGGGTACTTAAATATTTTCTATATTTAAGGATCCAAAAATAATTCCGAATCCAGCAAGGTGGTTTTTTTTTTTTTGTGAGCAACTTATTTTCTAATATCATAAGAGATGCAAATTTTGCCTGAATTCTTTAGAAAAGTTGTAAATTATCATTTGTTTTTTTTTTTTTTTCTTGTAGATTGTATCAGTTTAGCCAGTTTATCTTAAAATTTTACTTTTTTTTTTTTTTTTCTCCTGACATATCGTATCGTAAATCATATGGTGAAGGAAAAAAAAAAATCCTTTCAAAACATTTTTTGAGCATAAATGTAATACGGTTTGAAAATTTTGAGATGTAAATATAAGTTAGAAGTATAAAGTTCAAAGTAGAAATAAAGTAAACAGTTCAGTTTTTTTTTTTTGTATCCACAAATATAGATTAATAGCTATACAATCAAATTTATATTTTATCCCTTTTCGATGATATGTCTTTTCAATTTTTCCTGTACTTCTTGTAAAGTGATACGTCTGCTAGTTATTCGTAATATCTTTGATCTTGATCGAATACCCTGCAAAATACTTCATCTAAAAAATTATAAGAAAGTTTTTGGTTACGAAAAAAAAAAAATGATGCAACAATTTTTTTTTCAATTTCTTTTTACAGTAATACTAGTGGATCAAAGATTATGTGAAATGCATATCTGTTGTACATAGATATACGAAAGCTATTATTTACGTATCGGAGAATTTAATGATGAATTTTGAACAAAACTTTGGACTTTCTTTTCATGTTTATTCCTAGTAAACTTTAAACATTGCTTTCTGATTTCTTACATACATCGAATATTTTAAAAATTAATTATGTTGACTTTTTTTTTTCTCTAAAATTACAAATATTTTTGAAAATTTTCAAAATTTTTGATTATTTCCAAAAACACATAAGCTTGTCTATTTATAATGATTGTCACTATTTAAGATATCACTGTTTATTATGCTTAAAATATAGGTGTTATTATTATTTATTTGCTTTTTAATTTTTTTAATTTGATTCAATCTATCTCGTTGTAATTTTATTTATTTATTTTTTTTTCATTCTTTTTTTTTTTTTGTTATCTTATCTATAAAACTATTTCGACTATTTTTATTAATTTAGTTTTCTTTTTTGCTATTATAAATAATTTTTCTTTTAAAAAAACGGATTTAATTTACCGTATGAAATGTAATTTCGTTTTTATGCAATTCTAGAATATCCATCATAGCATTGATCAATGTTTCATTTGCTTGACCATCATGTGGAGGTGACGCAATTGCAAGTTCAATTTGATTCGTACCAATATATAAAATAAAAAATACTTATCATCACACTGTCTTTAGTTAAGAAAAAAAAAATCATTCCAATGATTGCTTTACAAAATAACTTTAATGAAATTTCAGTTTTAATTATATATAAGTTATGATAAGTCAGGATAAAAATGAACACATTGAGAATATTTTCTTTTTGGATTTAATAATTTAATAATTATTTATCAATTAATGATATATTTATAAGTAATGATATTTATAATTTAATATATATAATGATATTTATAATTTAATAATTATTTATAAATTAATGATATTTATAATTAATAAAATTAATGATTATAAGTAATAAATAATATTCATCTATAGTTAATAAATTATTGCACCTATAATACGTGTTGTTTTTGCATTTGGTTTTGCATGAATTCTGAGTATAATTTCACCATTTTTACTCATCGATATGGCACTATCTTTCGATTCTTCCTGAAAATTCTGAAGTTTGTTATTTTTCAAAATTATCTCATCGTTAAATAAATTACGCATCAAAAAAATGCATCAAACTTCTACAGTTAACCTTGGCAATATAATTTTAAATACTTCGTTTTTTGAACTTTTTATCATTTACATCCTATAACATTTTACTCTTAGCCTGTAAATATCGAAGAGGAAATATTTTCCTTTTTTTACAAATTTCAAATCAATATTTTTTAAACGGATTTAATTTTTCAATAGTAAATAGTATCAAAATTATTAAACAAACCTTATTTGATGTGTTCATTGTTTTAGCAACTATTTTTCCTACTTTGCCTTTATTTTTGCTCATTTTTCCAGTTATAATTCTGTAAAATTCACCTGTCATTATTTAAAAAAAAAAGAAAAAAAAAATGAAAATGAAAATAATTAAAAACACTTACTAGTACCTCTACTGTTTTATTTATTTATTTGTTTTCCCGCATATATAATAAGTCTTTTTTATTATCTTCTTATACTTTAGATTATCATTCCTTTTATCATATTTAATTTTTAATTTTTATATATAATCGTGAATAAATTCATTGAGCTTCACATTTTAACTTTGACTTTTGTTACTTAGAGAAACTTACTTACTGTAAACCCGATAAGTGTTCAGATATATTCGAGTAAGCATTTATTCAGAAAAGAATTTGTCTATTGTTCAGAATTTATATATCTTTTTGAACGCTTTCCTTTTATATTCAGCGATAGAGCGAATAATTGTTTTGCTGTCGAAAAGTTCCTGAAAATCAATCATATCTAAAATAAACGACTTATAAAATTTCATTCGCATATAATTTGTTCAAACAGTAAGCAAATTGATGTTATATTTATTTATTTCAATATGACACTTTTTTTTTTTCAAATTTTATTTCAATATGAAACTTTTTTTTTCTTTCAATTTCTTAGACATAACCACATTTGACTCATTTGGCTATTTCATGTATATTCTTATGTCTATTATTCTTACCATATTTTAAAATCTTTTCTTTTCTTCTTCTATAATAGAATCATTTTTTCAATTGCCAATTTAGTTTTATTCAAGAAAAAAGCTGAACTATAAAAAAAAAAAAGATGAATGAGTCACAAATTTTGACTTTTGTGATTCATTCATTATGAATAAATGAGTCACAGAATAAAAGTTGAAGAAGTATTAAAAGATATCACATTCCTAGAAAGATGAATTTTAAACAGGAAGAAAGAAATCATTTCGATAGTTTAATGATTACGGAATTCTTCTTTTCTATTTTCTTGATGATTTCTACTAATTGAGAAATGTTAAATAATCAATAGTTATTGTTCGCATATATTATGTTTTTAAACTGGATTGAAAAAGGTTTTTTTTTTTTTTTTTCTTTCAGATTAGCTTAATATTTCTGTTGTTTAGAATAACAAATAACGAAAGTGAAAATGAATGATCAAGAGAAGCCAAAAAGAAAAGATCATCCAAATTCTGGTGAAAAAGTACACATTATATTCGATCAATTTATTCAATACCTATATTCTCTTGCAATTGTACAACAGGTAATAATGATCTCTTAATTGATTACGAAAGTATTTAGTTGATAAGTTGATATTTGATAAGCATATTGTATCTTACATTTTGTTTATTATAATTATATTCTAATGTATGTATATTTGTACAATTTCATCTAGACATACTTTAGTTTATTCTATTTTAGATTCTTTACATGTATAATGGAGTGAAATATAGTAGTAAAAATGTGGAGAAAACACTTGACAGAGTTGAAGAAGGATTCAAAGTAGCTTATATTCATTCATTGGATCTTTATAATCGATACCGACAGACTAATATGAATGGTATTTTTTCTTCTTTTTTTTTTGTCATTTAAATTCAGAATTTAGTTTGAGTATTGTGAGAATAAAAATAGGTGTAATATCTCTGATGATAAATGAAATTATTGAAAAAAAAAAAAACACGAATCTTTTTTCCAAAATGATAGAATTATAAATTTCAGATCAAGCAAAACATATACTGGAAACTGTGCTTACATTCGGACTAAGCATTATTGTGATAATGATACAGCTTAACTTAACAATTTTAATTGCTATAATTACTATGCTTTTCAATGCTATACTTAATGGAAAAGAAGCACTGGAACATGCTTCCAAAACAACATCGGTTCTTACTTCTATTTCTTTATCACTCTATTTTCTAAAGAATAGCAATTAATGTATACATATCTAGAAACTTCTGGCACTTAAATCTTTATTTGGAAATTAATCCTTAACATACGTAACATTTAGCATGGCTTACCGAAAATTTCTTTAACCTTGAAATATAATCTTCTAAAATAAGAAGCCTATATGTTTAGTGAATCATTAAGTTAATGTATCGTTTGAGGAATGAAAGAATGAATTTGATAATTAAGTTGCAAAAAGGGATCTTCTAGAAATAATTATTTGATCGAATAAAGCCAACTCTTAGTCTATTCATTGCTGCAGCTTAAATTATTAATAAAAAAGAAAGCTATCCATACTGAATGAGCGGTGAAACAATCGAAATTGAGATGTGACCAGTCTTCCTATGATTGCAAATTGCTATCTACAATGCATCAGCTTCATAATTTAAATGAACTATCACAGTCAGAACATAACGTCCACCGATTTTATTCCTAATATCATAATTAGCAATAAAATTAAAGTAAGTAATTAATTCGCAGTATGAGTTTCTTTAGGATATTGATAATTGGTCTTATCTTCACGTAGTTACACCTATTAAAATGGCAATATTAATACTTTAACACTAATTTATCACATTCTATCGTAACATTTCCTTAATAAGTGTAAAATTTTAATGAACCTTCTTTTCAAATGCAAATATTTAAATTAAAACACAATTTATGATAGTGATTCAAAGATATATACAAGATGAGAGTTAAAATTTAAGTGGAATTTTTACAGAATGCACAAGCAACAGCTCGACAAATGGTAACCGATTTGTCTGAAAAGGTGCAGCAGATTTCACGAGTAAGTTATTTGTAATGATAATAGAGATATAAATTATATATCTTTAAGAAATATGTGAAATTCTTTTTAAACCAAACACTATCACTAGATTATGGACTTATTTTCTAATTGATTATTCCCTCTAATTGATTATTAGAGATTTTATCTTGATTTTGTGATATTATTTCATGATTTACAGTAACTCAATTATTTAAAGGAACATATGCTGTATGACAAGAATAATCAGGAAGAATAATACAGAAAATAAAAAGTAGATGAAAATAGACTTGAGTGCTTACGATTACTATAACAGTGCTTCAAGGAAGTAAAAAATTGAGACATTAATCTATTTTAGAAAAAATAAATATCATTTTAAGGCTTCTACGGAAAAAGCTGAGGAACAGGCGAATCGTATTTTAGATGGAGCTAATAGAGTAGCTCATTTAACGATGGGTATATCAGACGAAAGTGATGATATTGAGAAAACACCTTGGAGTCGTTTCCAAGATCTTAGTCATCGTATTTTGGAAAATTCGAAGAGTCGTGTTGAAGGACTTTATTGGACACAATTTGATGCACAAAGCATTGTGGAATGTTTACGTAATTCCATTTCACTGGTATGGTTTTTATTTTGGTATGGACGAAAATAATATAGTGTTGAGACCGTTGTAAGTAATATATTATCATAATCCTGAAACTGCCACTAAATGTATCCAAAATTTTCTATAAAACTGAATGCTGTGAACCTGCTATCATAAACTTAAGGGAATGATTTTGTGAAACATGAATTTTGCAAGTTTTTGCTTGAATTGATATATTAACGAAGGAAATGACTAAAAAGAGAAATTGATATATTACAAGGAGGAAATGAAATACCACCTCAAAAGAAATGTTGATATATCGATATATTGCAAGAAATTGATATATTGTTTCCAAGAAATACTAAAAAAAAAGTGAATTTTTATTGTTCCAAATTTCAGGCTGACATGGTACGTAAGAATAAATCGTGGGTTGCTGGTAAAGTTGGAGAGTTGTGGACATCATTAGATGAGTTAAAGGTATCTCTGGAGATGGAAGGAGAACGTCTGAAGAAAAATCCCGAGGAAATGCTGATGCGCTATTTGCAACGAACTTCATCTATTTTACCTGAACGACTTCGGATATTGGAAGAAACAACTGGAAAAGTATTTTTTGTACTATGTGATTATATGGATTTATGTGCTTAAAACTGATTAAAGATAGAAATTTTATTTATTTTATGAAGCTTTCCTTGCTCCTATATTTCCACTTATTGTTGCTTTCCCTCTACTATTACTACTTTCCCTAAAACTTGTAGTTATTACCTTTTACTTATAATTATTTTTCGTTAAGTTCTCCTACAGCTAATATGTTGTTTTGTTTGACCATTATGATGAGAGGAGAAAATGAACAATATAGTGTCGTAATTGCAATACTAATTACTATTACTTTAGGTGTTGAATGAACAGGCTACGAGTAAACTGGTTGCTCTAATATCTTATATCGAAAAACTTAATGAAAAACTGATGGAAGCTGATAATGTACACGAATTGAAAGATGAAGTAAGATTTTTTTTTTTCTGAGATTATGTTTGAAAATTTCCCTCGACTTTAACGATAGCAATGATTTGTGATAGCTTTTATCTTTTGAAAAAAAAAAAAAAATCTTTTTTTTGAGAAACTTTTCATTCCAAACTTTTCAAGCAATGAAAGAAAAAGAAATCGTAATTTATAGGTTCTCAAGGAGGCACATGACCGTTTGGTTGATTTGCTGCAATGGTTAACAGATCATATAGACTTCAGTGACAGTACTCATACAGAAAATTTGGGATCGGTCAATGATGGGTCAACTAATTGAAATGACTTTTGATTATTATTATTATTAAAGAATTGTCCCAATTTAACATCACTTTATACTCTCTCATTTCTATTTAGGTAAATCAAATTAAATCATCTCCTTAACAATAATATGTTACTCAAAAAATAGCATGGAAGCTTAACAAAATTAAAAATTTCATGTCAGATATCATTCTTTGAAAATCTATAGCAGTAAAAGTTGTAATAAAGGGAACTAACTTCTGATCTACCCATCAATTTAAACTACTGATTGTGTAGTATGTGAAGTTATACTGCTTACCACACAGAGGGTGAATTCAGAGAGACTACAGATAATAATGAATTGAGAATATTTAGATCTTAATAGTAAATGGTCTATGAATTTCAAAACTCCAAGAAATTCTTCTCCCTCCACCAAATTACTCCAATTTATGGTAGAACAAAGAGACAGGGAAGAGAGAGAGAGACAGTTATATCACATTTTTTCTTTCTTTTTTTTTTTCTAGTTGCATCTCGATATGTCCATACCTAATTAAATGTTTATTTCAGGTAGCACAACATTACAATGTAGTTTACGTGTGCGCTGAATGTTATTTTCGTGCTGCATCTAATTACTTTATCATCATCTTAGTTCTTGTAATTTTCTTTTATATTTTGGATTTAATCATTATTTACTACTTTTTTTTTTTTATTCTTGCGATAAAAAATAAGAGATATTTGTTCCATTCAGCTTTTGTCCACTTTATTCATTTAAGAATATATCTGTAAGATTAGAAACTAAATGAATTTAGTAGGCTGTAGTAATTAAATGAAGATAAGAAAATTATTGGGATCTATAGCTAAAATCATCTACATGAATAACTATACAAAAATAACCAGGGCAGCAGTTTCTGATTCTACACAAATGATTAAAAAATCATATACAATTAGCAACTGAGGCTTAAGAGAATAATTTATATAGCACTAATGAAATATTAGCTGAGTTCTAATTCCATGAATTTAAATGGAAGATGAAAGAACAGACAAACAGCATAACTATACTCGAAAAATCTGATACCAATATTTTAAAATATATACATGTTGACTCAAAAATAAATAGTATTACTTAAAAAGCTAAAAAACTGTGGAAATTGAAAATGCCTTATGAAAACCGGGTAATCCTATGTTATTGGGAATTCCGGAGGAAAAAATGAAAAAAAAAAGTAATGAATAAAATATTTATTGATATACAACAATTTCAATCAGCAACTAATAAACACAATAAAAACAGCACCAACAATAATGCATCAAAATGACCAAATATTGAAAACCAAAAGAACAAATCCATCTACAGTTTCTGATAACAACAAGTTTGTTATCAGAAATTATACATATTTAGCATGAACATGTTAAAATTCCATAATTCTCTTGAGAAAATCAAATTGATCATAAGATAGTATAAGTAAGAATTTGGGAAATAACTTCAAATAATCTAACAACAGTTTTCACATTCAATATTTCAATAACTCTTTAGTCACAAACCGCTGCACAAATATCACAGTGTTTATGGAAATTTTTGAACTGATCCATTTCTGATCAGAGAATGTGATTGCAATCTATATATCCGGAAGATCATCCAAATAAAAGTTTTGCAACTATGACGACGATATTGATAGCAATAAGAGGCACTTTAAAAAAAAAATGCTTTTATTTGAATATAAACCTATTGAAAAAATTATACTATCTAGTATCCTAATTAAATAATTTCTAAAATACAGAAAGGAAATTCCAAAAAGAGAACAAATGACTTCAAAAAAAATATATAATAATAACAACTCATACTTTGACATTTATATAACTTGAAATTTTCGCTGCCATATTGCAATGACTTTAGTTTGAATACAAAAGAGATATTTCATGAAAAAGTATCAAATTACACTACGCTATATATCTATTACGATCATCTTATGATCTGTTCCGATACTTCATCAACTAAACAGTTGTAATTAACGAAAGATTAATTAGTCATTTGTTAATTACACACATACACACTAACCTCGCATAACTGTTTGTACTGCAGCAATAAGGTTCACAAGTTGCATTTTAAAAGATGATGGGTTCGTAACTTCGAACGAATTGCTTGGTACCGAAAGACCAACCTTGAAATATATTTTCCACTTCAATTTCATTTTATAAATTACCAACGATCAAAACAGTTCAGTCTCTTCACAAAGATATCATACATTTATCCCAGCAATATTTACAACTCTCACATTCACAACTAAGTTATTAACTATAAATATCAGAATAAATTCATTCTTGCTAGAAATAAAGAGAATGTGAAGGATTGAAGAAAAAAAAGAAAAAAACTCTACCTTATTTAAAAAACGTTCCTTATTGAGCACAGCAATTCCATTCAAAATAAGTAAGCCTGCTTCTAACAAACCATAAAATGAAACAAACATATTCGTCCACTTCTAAACAAGAAGAAACTGTAAACAGAGCATCTTATTATGATTTCTTATTTGTTTAGCTAATAAGTTCAGAATATTAAAGTACGAGAAAAAATATTTACTTATTTACTAATCTTTATGCAACAGATACCGATGACCAAATATTAAAATGTTTACTTTAATATATGTTAACCAGATAATTTCCAGATATATAATATTTATTTGGGATGCATATCATTTTTATCTATGTTTCTATATGCTAATTAGTAATATTACAAAAGTTGATAAATATCAACATTATTCAAGTGTTATAAATATTGGTGCAGTGGACATTAATTTGAGTCTAATTTTTATTGTGCATTGAAATTTGATGCTGAACAAGCAGTACAAATCAACAAAATTTGAGAAACTGAAAAGAAACTTATGGTCATAAAAAGAAATACAAAGACGACATTGAATGTGAAACACAAGAGAAAAGTAATCCACAGATTAACACTAAATGACTCATAATTACATCAGCACACAGCATATCACGAATGTTAGATGAAAAAGATAACACTGTTTCTTTTAAACCATATTATTCAAGATTAGTTTTAAAAATGAGTACATCATTAAAGCGATCAATCATTCCTAAACTCATAAACTATTCCTCATTTCTATAGTATCAAGATTAAGTAAAATTATACTATAAAAAATAAAAAAAAAGAAAAAAAAAAACAACTCCAACTACCAATCAGTAAATAATTGAAAATCCTTTAATTCTATAAAAAATTAATTAAAGAGTGAAAATAAAGGAAATAATAATGTGTACGAGATTTAACTTAATAAAACTACACGAAATTCAATATATTTCTCACTGAATTAATGATTTAACATGCACTATCATTTTTTCCTAATAACTCAACTCAACATGGTAGAGATATATTGTTAATGTGTCAAATATATGGTAATTGGTATACGTAAATATTGCTTGATAAAAAATAATCAGCACCAAGAAATATCCTAGAATAAAGTCGTTATGAGTCTGAAATAACTGAAATAACATCATCCCCTAGAAATATCACAAAACGATTCATGTGAATAGACGTAGGGAAAAAAAAAATGAAAGACAATATAAAAAGGATATATTATGTGTAAAGAAATCAAAAAAAAAAAAAAAAAAATGGATCAAAGGACAAAAACACGCAAAAGTTGATTAGCGGGGTAAATTTCTCCCGTTCTAGGACAAACAATTTCATCTGATGCATTAAGCAATTTTTCAATCGAATTTGCACCGTAAACATAACCATTTGGTAGCATAAATGGTTCATTATCATCATCCATTGGTTCTCCCGAATAAGCACACATCAATCTGTAAATAAAAAATGCTTGACAAAATCTTTTCTAAGACATTCTGAAACACGATCACCCGGTTTTCCAGAAAGTTTTCTAGAAATCAATATAATGCTGCCATATCTTAATACAATAGAAAAATTAAATTAAATCAAAAAATGAATCAGCAAAAAAAAAGTAATGAGTTGAAAACCGCTCCCTTTAAAAATTACAAATACCATGAGAGAATAATTTCCACTAAATGATGATCCGTACCAACTATTTTTTGAAATTCACTAAATCGTATGCATATATCATATAATCCAGTATGGTAATTCAAATCAACTATTATTTCATAAAAAACAAATAGAAAATGGGAATAAATTAGCAAAAGTTATTTGTAAATACATTTAGAAATCGAATACACTATTAATTTACCTTGAATTAGAAACATGGGAGTGGGGTAAATCTTCCGCAAGTTCATGCATATCAGGACGACAAGTTGGACAACGAGAATCTGGATCCGGATGACACTGTGGACTTTTGTAAGCTGACAATCCCATACATAGACAAGCGTTAAAAGATGAATACTCCATAAGCTAAATGAATAAAATATGATCATGCTATAATTTATATAATAATAAATAAAATGAGACCATGCATAATTTAATCACCAAGCATTATTGAGTACAGCAACAGTTGAATAAACTAATCCTATCAATAATACACATTTTAAATATGAATCTAATATCAGCAGCATAACTATTATGTTATGGATATTATTTTCAATAATTAACCTTATAGACACGAGCATTTTCTTGTTTAAACAGTTCAATAAGCTGATCCCAGCGCTTTTCACTAAAATATTCGTTGTAAGCACGACTTTTAGAGGGAATTCCAAAGCCAATGAGACCCATAACCTTCAAAAAAGAAAGCTGAAACTATAAAACAAGCAACGGTTTCGTGCGTATACAACAGAAGAATCAGTCGACTGATTTGAAAACAGTTTCATGCAACATTTCACTTTGAAATGGTGTAAACATGGCTTCAAAAATTTTTAATCACAATAATGTGAGTTGATTAAAAAAAAAAAAAAAAAATGAATCTCGTATTACTTTAAGCAAAAAATCAAAGATTATAGGAACTAAATATTCAAAAAGATGAGCTGCAAGAGTTACAGTTCAATTGAATACACTGAACACTTCACCGTTCGCCAATGAACCATTCTTCAAAAATTTCTACCCAAAAGTTTTGCTGATGTTAATGTTTAACCTATGCTCCTCTCCCATTTTCTTTCAGTTTATGTAAGCATAGAAGTCTGCAACGGAAGCAGAAAGTGGATTACTTTCACAACTTGTTCGCTCCACTGATCTTTCGGCAAGTTGGCCAAAAATTTTCTGGCATAATGCACAGCCTCTAAACGATCGCCTGAAAAATCAGTTTCTTTTTTTTTCATAGTACTTATCATATTATAAACATATGAAAGAATTCAATACCTAATTTTATATTAATACAATGTCTAATTTTCACAGCAGGCAAATTTCTATTCCCCTAAAAGATTTTGCATATTCTCACTCTAAGTAGAATCTATAAATGAAGCCGGCAAAAAAAGATATTTGTGAGCTATAAAGAAGCTTACCTCGTCGTACCAATTCAATACAGTCCTGCAAGCGAACCGTGGTTTCCAGGGTGCTTTTCAGGCGACGTAACTTTGACTTGTTATCAGCAATCCATTCTAAACATCGGTCGGTCTCATGGCGCGATAAGCTATCTTCTACCTGTAAAATTTCCCAGGAAATTCATCCAATACCAGTTTCACAACGCACTAAATTACTCTTATCTGGAAAACCAAACCAAATATCATTAATCAAAAAGTATAAATTTCAGCAAATTGGGTCGGAAATTGAAATGAGTTCCACTTACCTGCTTCGCAATCATGAAAACAGTTTTGTTACACATGTCTTCCACATTCGCTTGTTCCGCTAACTTTTGTGCAGTTTCGAAATAACCTGAACGTAACAAATAATCGATAATCAAGCGACTAATGCGCTGACTACGCCAAGTTTCCTGCTTCAAAGCATCCGTCGTGTTAGCCTGAAAATATTACCAAGCCTCTTAGTTTAGAACTTCTACTAACTGATTCATCACAATCTATCCAACATCGAGTGCAAAACAACTGCAAATGTCATTATTCATCCCATAATTATTTCATTTTTGAATGTCTGTTTTTTTTTTTACTGTATTCACTAAGATTATCTCAGCGTTTTTATGTATATTCAAAAACTCGTAAACTCACAGCATTAAAATAAATTATGCACGTGTTTTAACACATGGATGATTTCGAATAAAAAACAGAAACCATGAAGTAATCTAACCCTTGTCTTCGATCCATATCGTGCCTCATCTCATCCTTTTCAACTGAACCATTTTCAGTATTGAACAAAAAAGAATAATATCATATGAATTAATGAACCTGCTGCAGATATTTGACTCGCGTATCCAAGAGATCAATCAATTCCATTTCCTCATCAGTGATTTGCTTAAATGTACCAAAGAGTTCATCAAAGCGTCCAAAGTAAAGATCCATTTTTTCTTTAATCTGTAATTTTAAAAATCCGGATCAAACTTAAATGTATAGCCAACGTCACAAAATATTAACAAAAAATAAAGCATTGTATGCTGCATTGTAATAAGTAAATTTGAAAAAAATATTTTATCACCCTTCAATTTACCTCCGTAACTAAGTCACGTTCATTTGCTTGCCTTTAATCTTATTTCTGTAAAAAACCAAAAAAAAAAAAAACTTCTCAGCGCTAAAGACATGTGTCAGAATACGAGAATTAAATTAAAAATCAGAAGGCTCATTAAAAAGTCTAATTGCTGAATTATTCCAGCAAAAATGCTATATTTTACATAAAAATGAAATATATATAAGTTATGAACATATCAAAGAATTAGAAGCTTACATCACGTTTATAAATAGGCTTAGTTCCATCACCTTTCATAGCTTTTGCTACCAAATCAGCAGTTTCCTTCAAAAAATAATTATTTTTTTCCATTGTTTTTTGTGATGAACGAAATCGTTTATTGAACATTTCATACGGTACTTTCAGTGATGTGTACTCGAGCGCTGTGATTTCATCTGGCTTTAATGGTTCCGAACTTTGTGCTAAATATGCAAATTGTTATTTTGAAATTAGAAAATATGAAATAAACGTCTTTCTATATTATTTATATATCATGACAATAAATCAGTAACTATTATACGAACTTGAATCCTGTGATGGTGAACTAGAGGACATCATGAACTTATACACTTTCTTTTCTTTCAATTCTAATCGAAAATACCAATACCTGTAAACAGATGTTAACACTATAAACTTGCAGTGTACCTTGCCAAACATAATCTGAATATATCAAAAGCACCAAAAATTTCAAATCAACTATCATTCTATTTGATATAGAAATATAAATATTATATCTTTACACTCAGATATTACATTCAATATAACACAGCCAAAAAAAAAAAAAAGAAAAAAAAAACTGGCGGAAAAGAATACAATGAACAACAAATTATAAAGATATTATTATCCTTTTTTACTCGACTATCGAAAACATTCACAAATAATCAATGAAATCGATCTAACAATTGTGTTACAAAGTAATATTTCCACAAAGAATCGCGTAATAGTTTTTTCACG